TTTCATCAATGTAGGGAACCCTACCTTGAAGTTTGATTTAACGCATTGTCCATCAGGTCGCAAGAAAATGGGAGTGGTATCCTTTCCCCAAACAAAATCATACCCCTGTTCCAAGCATCTCAAACCAATAGAGAGTGTAGAGGGAGTACTTTGGAGAATGTAGGGGCTAAAGGATTCACACAACCCTGGAAGAATCACCTCAACTACATCTTCGGCGGTGATAGGACCATTGGCAGTAGAAATTGGTTCGTTGGACTTGAAGATTTTAGTGGCTCTGTTCACAGTCTTGGAACCTTTACCTACAATGTCCTGGTCTGTGTCAGTATCTCCTAGCCACTTCTCCATGCCTACAGTGCTTGGCGTCGCAGTTACGCGAGCACAAGAGGGTACCTGTTCACCGGTGACTGTTCTGCACTTTGTGCAACGCAAGTCATCGGGGCCTTCTGGGGAATGGACACAAAGAAAATCACATGCAGGCTCCTCGCTATCCATAGATTCGAGCGTCTGCCTAAGTGACTCCGCTGCCAAAATGGCATCCTTAGCGTCACACTCGCGGGACTTTGGGCATTCCTCAGCGGTCCGGAACAGGTTCCGTTTTCTGATGCCTGTACATGTCCTTCCAAACAGGGAAGGTGTGTACCTCTGGTTTGAATTCAAAGCGAATTCTCTTTTCTTGCAACACATGGAAAATTGATTTCTACCATGGTAAACTGGCTTTCCAACCTAGATGATTCCACAGGACAGGATTTACGTATTGGCAGAAAGGACCTGTTTCTAGCCTTTAAATGGTGCCTAATCAGTTCCGCGCCATCCTTGGAGAATTCCCAGTAGTCTTTGCTCTCATGGGTCCGAGTAGCTGTTGCTGCTAAGCAAGACAATGCAAAACCTGTTTGAATACATGGACTGGCCTTTGGACTCTTTTCCTTCTTTTCCCTTTTGCTCTTTTTGTCCTTTTTATCCTTCTTAGACTTCTTGTCTTTGGACTTTCTAGCTGCGGGAGATGGGCTTCGTCTGCGTGGGGCCGGCGTTGCCGTGTCGCCATGTTTGAGTGGACATTTGTCACCCCTTTTGCAATTGCCCTTGGCAAAGAACCTGCATGGCTTTTCAGATTTTCTGCCCTTACTTGAGCTTCTTGATGAATTTCTAGAACTGCTACGGGAAGACGGTCTCGATGAGCTCCTAGATCGGCTTGACCTGAAAGAAGAGCGACCACTTGAACTAGCACTACGAGAACGAGACGACTCCCGGCTAAGGGAGCGGGGACGAGCGCTAGAGTCGTGTGAGTACTTGCATTTGCTTCCATACTTACACTTGCCAGTTTTGGCGAACTCATAGCATTGATTGCTGTTGTCACCCTTCGTACTTCGTTTGCCATAACTTGGGCTTCGTCTGCGTTTGTCATGTGGTGCTGGGTTTGCATACTTAGCTGAATGCGATTGAGAGATTTCTCTCGATTGGTCCTAAGCCTTTCTCTATCAAGATACCGTCTGACAGAATTAATAAGGAACTCATAACTTCTGTCACTACTTCCCTCTGAAGCACGTTCATAGACATCAAGGTCGAATCTGAGTTTACGGGACTTCCTAACCTCTCTATAGGAAAGATCTTTAAGTGTTGCTGGGTCAGGGACATGACTCATTCCAGTCAAAACACTTTCCCATTTCCTAAGAAAGGCCTTTAAGTCGTCGCTGTCAGGCGAGACTTTAAGAAGATCCTCAGTACCATACAGTGCACACGCTTCTTCACTAGTTTTAAAATGGACTTCAAACATGAGCAAAACCTGACGACCACGATCAATCCTACTTTGCTGTGCCTCAGACTCCTTATAATTAAGGATTTGCTGAGCCAACTCGCCCTTGGCGACCTTAGTCAAAGCGGCAAGTAGTTTTGTATCTAAGGTCCGAAACTTGCCTGTGTCTGCGAGCTCGGAACAAACCTTTGCCTTGTCTTCACGGACAGCGTAAACCTCAAGCACCCACGCGAACGCGGCGTCTGGGTCATCGGACGCGGACCGGATCGCTTCGCGAACTGCGGCCCTCCAAGCGCGGCACCTGTCAGGACTTGGACATTCGGGAAGGTCTGTTTTATCGGCCTCCTTTGCCTTGGGTTTATCCTGGTCTTTGCTTTTAGCACCCTTAAACCCCTCTAGCAAGGCCCTTTTAATGAATTCACCTAGATCTTGTTCTTGGGGAGTCCTAACCTGAGACGCCGGCCCTTCGTCTTTGCAGTCCTCTTTGTTTTGTTTGGCTTCCTGGTTAAAGGAGCCTTTAAACAAAGGGTCATCGCTGAAGTTGTACTGTGCCGACTTCTTCATGTAGTCTGCCCAAGGATCGGAGGTTCCAAACTTTTTGTAACCTGTCGAAGCTGTAGCTTGTTCTGTTGCAGCCGCCCCTGTTCCAGAAAACATTGAAGGAAATCCAGTGTTGCGATTGGCTGCTGATGCATCCATTGCTGTCTTCACGGGAATTCCGCCAACTTCTGGGGGCGAACCCTCTACGGTTGCAGGAATTGAGCCTTCCGTACGAAGAGGTCCAAGTGAACGAGGTTGACCAATAGGGAAAGTGTCAGCTTGAGCATGAGGTGGAGGTGGCTCAGGATGCTGCGGCCCTGGTTTAATGGGGCTTTCGACTTGTGCTCTGCGCTCAACTTCTTTGCGCTCTGTTTCTTGTCTTTCTGCATCTTGGCGCTCTGCTTCCTTAGGCTTTGCGTCCTCGTTTGCGTTGGACAAGACCTGCACAACATGTCTGAGCTCGTCCATCTCACCTTTCAACATTGCATTGTCCTTTCTGAGTTCAACAATGGTTTGCTCTTGACACTCCTTGTCAGAATTGTTCTGTTTCTTGGCTGCTTCCATTTTGCTAACAAGCGTCCTTATTTTGGCTTGTGCAATTGCCAATGATTTCGTCAGTTCCTCTCGCTTTAAATTCTAGATCTATTGCCTCACTGGCTTCTTCGGCTGATGTAGATCTGGCTTGTTCCGTGGCCTCTACTGCCGCCTTAAATCTAGATTCATTCTGCTCGACATACTGACCATGTTCTAATTTCAACCTTTCAACATAAACATTGCCTTCTGCTGCCAAGGCATCCCTCTCTGGTACAACTTTGTCGTGAGCCATAGTTGCCTGTGTTAGCCGTTGCTGGAAATGTTCTCGCTGCTCTTCCAACGTACCTTGCAACCGTTTGATCGCAACGTTGTCTTGCTGTTGAGCCATTTGCTGAACACTTTGTTCCTGCTGTTGAGCCCTTTGCTGAACATTCTGGATTGCTAGCTCTGCTGCGGCTTTTGTTGCTAATATGGATTCGGAAGCTTCTCTTTCATATATTTGCCTGAAACGTAATGCTTCGAGTTCTGCTTCCCTCCTAGCTTGCTCACTGAGTAAAAAGTCATGTTGTTGTAGTTCCCGTCGTCGTTCTTCATCAACCGTTAAAGTATTAACATTGACGACGTTGAACCGGGTCATTGCCAACATGTTGTTTACAGTTGGCGCACCCGTTACGGTGGCTGACGGCATACCTGCTAGGGTAGCTTGTGTTGCTTCTTGAAGAGTAACACTGCCACCACTGCTTAACATTTGTTGGTATACCTCCGAAGCAACCCGTGGATCCATTGCTGCAACCTGAGCAACTGCCTGCTCATGTTGCTGAACTGCGTCCATACCACTGGGTACACTTGGAACAATGTCAAAACCATTTCCGTAGGTGTTCGGCCCGACGCCATCGTCCATGGGGTCCATAGCTCTATTCTAGTTAGCCTACGGCTGATAACCTGTATTTTACAGGATCAGCTCTAACTTCCTAGCTAACCCTGAACTACCGCTAAGCGTACCTTTTAACTCTACCTTGAGAGTACACGCTACGGGGTCCATAGGGATGAGGTGAATTTCAACACTATGCAAGAAGCTACCTGTAGGCATACAAAAACTATATAAAATTACCTTTTAAAGTCATAGGATCTCATAAGCGTCGATAGGATAAGAACATGATTGCTTACTCTCTGCCTCCTTCCATCGAACCCATGATTGCACCAACTTTGGCATCCTGCAACCATTGGAGAGTATGCACTGACACACTACATCTGGGCCTAATTGTAAGCTGCAGAGTAAGCAAGTTAAGCCAAATATCCTTCTCTGCTTGTCATGTTTTTTGTCTGAGCCATAGGAAGGCATGCAAACAAAAAGAAAACCAGTTCATGCGCAAGGGAAGCGACATCAAGGTCGCACATGTAGTACATTGTAGTACTAAACATCCTGACGCAATAGGCAGGCCTGTTTTCGGTGGCATCTGTGTCCTTCAGCTTTACTTGGTGAAACTGAATCAGTCTCGACATGTCTGGCTACTCCAGTGCTGGCACCTTGGGCGCTTTGGCATTTACTAACACGAAGGTGAAGCAATTCATGCATTTGAAACAAAGTAGACATTCGACAAAAACAGAAGCTGCAAAGGGTCTTTGCCCAGCCGCTCGTACATCACAGGTTATATCCAAGCGTCGTCATTGAACAAGAGCTCTGGATTCATGAGCGTCCGCAGCAAGTCATACTTCCTGATAAGCTGCCATGCCTGCTCAGTCTCATTGGGCAGGACATGCATCGGGCAATAGTCGTAGGCGAAGCAAAAGTGGTCTCTCTCAAGGTTGCCAGATGCACTACAGCCGCAAGTCTCCGGGCAAAACCATGCCAGGGGCAAGTAGCGTGAGCTACCTCTGCACGCCAAGGAGCCCATTAAATCTTGAGGCTGTGTGGCTATAACCGGGCAGCCAGCTACCTTTGCCCAGTTTATAAATTCAAGATAGCTCTGTCTTGTTCCGAAATATTCAGAGCCGTGGTAGTTGTCAAGCATGGGTAAATAGTTGTCCCAGAAATGGCGCCAAGAAGCTCCAGGAAGCTGGTCCTTGCAGCCGGTCGTGAAATTGGGCGGCTGTCCGAAAAGGGGGCTGGATCCGTACATGCTGAAGTTATAGGACTCTTGAATGCATTGTCTTGTGCAGCCAAACATAGGAGTCTTCAGCAGTGGAGATGACAGTGGCCGAGTGCACCCGCAATGTCTGGGGCAAGTGTTGCGAAGCCAAAGTGCTTCCATCGTGAACAACCACTCAGGGGCTTCTTCACTGCAGAAATAGGCCAGCTCTTCGCAGGTCTTTGCTTCTGGCATGCCAACCCGCATACCCACACCCTGCAAAACTGCAGTGAGGTTATTGTTCCGGTCATTCTCACGGCAAACGTAGAACTCTTTCTTGAATCTGGGTATAGCTGCTGTCTGCGAGCGAGCAATAATCCGATTGACCCTCCCTCCCAGATTGAATACTTTGTTATCCCATTCCTTTTGGCTTCGCCAGAAAGAATTTCGTTAACTGCGAGCTCAGCATTTCTTACATCTGAAGAGGGTGGTGCCCCTGCGCTCGCAGACAATGACGTGTACATCTGGCCAGACGTCCCAGTGACGACAAAATCAATGTCCCCTCCACACATCTCTGTCTTCACGGAGAGCATTGCCTCTCTGAGGGGCACAAGCACTGTCATGTAGGGCACCAAAAGCGCAGCCGCGAGCATACAAGCGAGGAGAACATTTTCCACACTCTTCCAGCGTCGGCTCGTCCTCACTTGCATTGGCGGCAACCTCTTGATCTTCTGCTGCATGTTGGTGGGCACCAGCGCCCGACATATAAACTCGTCAATGTGGAGGACGGCCTTGTCGAGCAACGACAGAGGCGACCGAGGGAACGGCGAAACGATGCGAAACGCAGCGACCCATGGGACCGAGGATCGATCGACGGAAGAAACAGCGACGAGAAACAGATTCCATCCATCGGCTCCGAGATTGCAGGTCTGGATATGTCTGGATTGATGAATGGTCAAATCCAGACCTTTCAGAACTGTTTTGCTGTTTTCAGGGCGCCTCTAGGGCAACCGAGTTCAACATGAGCTCCGTAATGGATGTTGTGTTGCCCAGCCAGATGGTGCCTGAGATCAGCAGGGCACCCGCTACCACTGCACGCCCCACACACACAATTGTCATGATCGAGATTCGCTGCCACGACAAGCCTGAGCTGGGAGCGTAATCGAAGCAGGCAGAAGCAGCTGCTCAAGGGATTTTCAAAGAAAACAAGTGTCTAGGCTATGTGTTTTAGGCTACAGGACAACTCAAAAACGATTTCACGCGGACGGGTTTGCATCTTTCTCTCTCTCTCTCTCTCGCGCGTTCTCTTCCTGATGGCTTGTCCTGGAGATACACACAACTTCATTGGATTCAAAAAATGTGCCGGTAACATGCTCACCATTGCTCACCTGCTCGTACTTCAGAAAAAACGGAAGAGTTGATGCTATCTCACCTAGAAGCCTTTCAACGCCGATGTTGATGCCCCAGCGCTCAGCAAAATGCCTCTCAGAACATACGACACACTCCGCAGCTCGCCAAAGATGCAAATGTTCCAGAGAAGGATGCAAAGCACTGCGAGCAACATGCCAGGCCTCACACGCAACACCCAAATAGTTCTTAGTCAAATCTGCAGAAACGGCATGTACATTTCCCGTGCCCGGCCCCATAGGATCCAAAGGATGCCGAAAGACTGGAAATTGGGCAGCTGAAAGGACAACTTCTCAAGTCCCAAGTAGTTGTTGATCTCCACCAGCTGAGTCACTTGAGCTGTTGAGAAAATCAAGGCACCGTCCTCGTCGCACACGATCGAAGCCAAATTCCTATGGTCCAGGCCCACGAAATCGAGATCGTGCGCGAACCTGAGACGCCAGGTGCGTGCATCCTGCACGGAAAGGCCATCTCCCAAGAAGTCTGGAGACATGATGATGACTGTGAACAAGACCTGCATGGTGGCATTCATGATGATCAGGAAGGCCCCGAAAATGCCCTCCAGGAAATTGTGCTTCGACAGCACCAAAGGAATGCTCCAAGCACTCTTTCGGTCAAAGCAAATCATCTCCTGAAGAGCAGCACCAAAGGATATAGTAGGCCTACTATAACGCGGCTTTCAGCATAGGTTACCGGACCTCCCTGTCCTGATCCCTCCTGATCCCTCCTGCCTCCATGTCCATGTCCACCACCTCTTCATCTGCATCTCCTGAAGCTGCATCTGCAACCTCTTCATCTGCATCTCCTGAAGCTGCATCTGCACCTGCGTCATCTTGCACCGCTTTGCTGGGCCAAAGGTCGTCCAAAACCACTTGGATGGTGGCTTCGTTCCCACCTCCCTGCAGGCATCCTGACGGGAGTGCGAAGCATTACAAAGCTTGGTGAATCTCCAAAACATTCCGAAATTGCCTGGGAGCCCAAAGAACAAAGAACGAGAGTTAGTGGCAACATGCAAGAAGTCTAAAGCCAAAAAGCATCTTCTTTGCGAATGTTGCGACAGGTCTGAAGTCCCCCAAAATAGAGCTTACTTGATTCGAGTGTCGCAGCTCTTGAAGCTCCTTCTTCACCTGGTCCTTCCACTCTATGACCTCGCGCCTGAGCTTTGCCACTTCATTGTCCACGTAGTCTTTGGGCACGAGCTTCGGCAGGGCCGACAGCAATGAACGCGTTTGCTTGGAGCCCGAACAACAACCAGAACAGGTCAGGAGAGAAAGAGGGGACCGGGGAACGCGGGCAAAATGAAGAGCGACTGAAGCACCTTCCTACGAGCGAATCAAATACGAGGTGCACAGCGCACGGAAAGAATATAGGGAGTCAAAACAAATACCTCGCCACTAGGAGTCCAGGAGCTTTCGTTTGCTACCGGTTCCTTCACCGAAACACAAGCACCGCGGCGCACGATTCACGCAGGTTTCACACAGCTACGACACTACGACACCGCCAAGGCAGAACCGCAGGTCTTGAGCCGCACGTCCCCACTGTGTTGTGCCTCTTCATCCACGATGGGCACCCGGTTTCCAAAGGCCACAGAGATCTGGCGCCAGACCTCTTGCTTCCTAAGCTGTCAAGAAGAAACTTGAGGCCATCCCTCTCAGGTAGGAGGCCAGCGCTATTAGGCTGGAGGCCATCGCTAGTACTTTGGTTGACCATGAAAAGCTGAGCCCGCTAAGCCCCAAACCGATTCCAAAAGCTTAGAGCCCAGGTCAACCGCAGCCCACGATGTCCCCTCCAAGGATATATTGGGAGATGTGATCCCCTGTCCCACTGGCCAGTGGTTTATTGCTCCTAGCCCCTAGTAGCTTCTTGTTACTCGTAGCTACTTGCTTCTAGTAGTACGGCCAGGAGCCCCTAGTAGCGTCCTTGCTCCTAGTAGCGATGCCAGGAGCCCCTAGTAGCGTCCTTGCTCCTAGTAGCGATGCCAGAAGCCCCTAGTAGCCAACATTGTTTATTGGGCAACAAAGAGATCACACTGCTTCCCAAATTGATCTGAACCTACCAGAAGTCAAAAGTCAGCTCGAGTACGATCAATGAAGACGTCTGTATAAAGGTCTCAAAACAGAGAAACAAATAAATTTGAAAAATGAAAGAGAAATTAATGAAGGTCTAGAGGAAGGATAATAAAATCCTTATGGATAGTCAAAAGAACGATCCAGAAACAAACAAGTGTACTGGTAGTCAGGAGTAGTTTAGCTCAAGACCCTGCACAAGCGCCCGCCCAACAGCGCCCACTGCATTCCGAGGGTCTCAGCCACCGAGGTGCCTAGCTGAAGCAGACCGAAGCCGACAGCGAACCCGGCGAAGCCGACGGAAGGAGGGAAAAGGGGAACCCGAGGTGTCGTTCTGGCGAGAGCATGCAGGGGTGGAAGATGACTGCTATCGCCTTGCAAGATCCATCAACGCAGGTTTGCCGGATGGGAGTAGAGACCCTACCCCTTACTGCAAACCAAAAAAAGCGCACAAGAGACCTTTGGCAGCGCATCGCTACTAGGAGCAAGGACGCTATTAGGTGGAGGCCGCCGCAAGTAGGTTGGAAGCCATTGCTACTAGTAACAAGAAGCTACTAGTAGCTAGAAGCTTCCTTGGGAGTCGTTTCACTGGGAATCGTTTCACCTGTAGTAACAACAAGCTACCAGTAGCATCTAGTAGCATCCTTTGCTACTAGTAGCAATGCCCCTGTTACTAGTAGCTTCTTGTTACTAGTAGTACGGCCAGGAGCCCCGTTCGTAGCGTCCGATCGCTCCTAGTAGCGATGCCCTTTGTTCGTAGCTCGTTTCGCAACGAGCAAAGCTGCGCCTGTGAGCCCCAGATCCACCAGACACGAAAACAGCGCGTTCTCGCTGGCGAGCTCTTGGTGGTGTCCTCGAAGAGACAGGGGAATGACAATCAAACTGGCAGCTGGAGTGCCTGATGAAAAAGGATTGTCAAAGTATTTTTCGCTGTTAGAATGGGAAGGTTGGTTTTTGACAGAATCCATATTCTTCTTGTGGGTTTCCCCGGAGGCAAGCTTCTCAGGGGTCATTCTTGTCTCAAGCATTGTCCTCATCAAAAAGTTCTACATTGACACATCCCGAACCCACCATCCGGCCTGAACAGCGCTTGAAAGCCTGATTCACAACCTCCGCCTAGGACCGTCCGAAATCAAGCAGATGGAGTGTCTTTAACCCCAAGGATCCCTACCAGAGGCCAAGTAACTCCAGCATAAACACAGCAGGCTCGGAAGAAAATTCACTCGCACAGTATGTACACGTTCACGGCTTCAGTTCTTTTCTGATCAACAGCATTCAAGCAGTCTAAAGGAAGTGCACCGTGGAAAAAGCGGTTGCTGTGATCTGTGTTGATACTCAATCGCACCAAGATCAAGGACGTGGATTTCTAACCACCTTCGGAAAACACTGATTTTTGAGTGGAGTTTGCAAAGGTGGAACATATGCAAATCAAAAAATGTACGTGTTGCCTCCCAGAACTTGTTTCTGTGGCCCTTGCGGCCAAACCTCGACCCGTCGCCCCCAGCTGGGCCTCCTCCTTGGTGAAGCTCTGCCGAGCCCGTTGAGCAAGTTTGACCTCTGATCGGCCAAAAGCGCCCAGGAAGCGAAGCGACTGGACCATCGTGAAACGGCGATCCGAATCGGATCATCCGATTGCATCCGATTTCACTCAATCGTTTGGCCTCAACTGTCGCTTTTCGCAGAAAGTGCGGCGGGTTTGGAGCCGAAGTTTGGACTCGGTAGCGGTAGCGCCTGGCACAGGAAGGCATCAAAGACTCCACGCAGCAGCTTTTCACGGCGATGCGACTGCCTGACAGTTGTCAGCGAGGTGCAAGTTGTTCATCACGAGGTGAAAAAGAGAGAGAGAGAGAGAGAGCGAGGAAGGGAGGGAGGGAGGGGAGATGGAGATGGAGAGAGGAGAGAGGAGAGATCAGAGATGAGAGGTTTGTCTCAGGTCATGTGGCATGTCTTTCGGCAAGAAATCTGGTGGCGAACTGGAGACTTTATGCCAATAACCAAGGGTGTGAAGGAAGAGTTGCCCAAACCAAGGGTGGAGCACTGTGTCCACACGTTCCTTGCAAATTGAAAGGGGCTTAGCCGGAAGCATACCCTCTATCACCCCAACGTCGGTGACAGCACCGAGCTGCCTGGAGTTCAGGTAGAGCGCCCGAGTGCCCAGATGCACCCAGCAGCGAGATTCTGAACATGGATGCCTTGAACAAATCGCCCTATTGTGGGACCGGTTCTGAAGGAAATCCGGTTTTAGCCCGTGTAATTCCTGCACCCCACATGCACTTGTGGTCATTAAGTCTTTGATCTTCTGTGCCTGGTCTTGACTTCACTCGCTATTAGGTTGGAGGCCATCGCTATTAGGTTGAAGGCATGCTTAAGGGCATGCCTGTTCTTGACTTCCAGGTTCATCATCCGCAGCAACATCTTGGCGCCATCCTTTCCCTCCTCACAGCCGAGCTAGCAGGAAAGCCTCCCCCCAAACATGACCCAGCAATCATGGCCAACACGTTCCCCACTACTCATCTTGTCCTCATGACACGAAGTGACAACCTCAAAGCTCACCTAGCACGCACTGCAGAAAGCGAAATCAACTGCACAATTCTTGGAAAAAGAAGGTTGTTGCTGGGTTTTGGGCGCAAAACATATAACATGGTAGAGGAAACAAAAACCCCCCAAAACTGTGTCATGGAGTAAGCGCGGATGGATCGAATCTCCTCGGCATTCTCTTCGGACCTCGGGAGACCAGGCTGGATCGAAACATCGGGACGAAATGCATCACCTTTGGACGCTAGTAGTAACAAGTGCCACGCTAGTAGTAACAGGTGCCTTACTAGTAGTAACAAGGACGCTACTAGGAACAAGTGCCACGCTAGTAGTAACAGGTGCCTTACTAGTAGTAACAAGGACGCTACTAGGAACAAGTGCCACGCTAGTAGTAACAGGTGCCTTACTAGTAGTAACAAGGACGCTACTAGGAACAAGTGCCACGCTAGTAGTAACAGGTGCCTTACTAGTAGTAACAAGGACGCTACTAGGAACAAGTGCCACGCTAGTAGTAACAAGTGCCTTACTAG